CCATGCATTACATTAACTTATCTTTTTACTGAAACGGACTTCACTACACTAGGATTAATTCTCCAATAACCACTTGAACAGAAAACACAGTAGCACTAGAGTTAAACAACTTCTTGCAGAGTAGATCACTCCATCAAGCTTGGAGATTGCAAGTTGGACTGAAAAAGTAAAGAGTTTAGCTAGAAGATGATACATGGATTATTGCAAATGAGCTAGAAGTTCAAAGATGGAGTGCGGAACACGACACTGAACAGACTCTCAGTCTTCAAAAATCGAAATACTATTGCATAAAAGGCCTCCAATAACTTCTTATCATTCTTTCCCGATTGAAAATGCATAGATAACGAGCGAAGGAAACGAATCAAGAAAAATTAGAAATGCGTATTAGGCGTCGCCCCCCCTCTAAAAAAATAAAAAACTATTATCTTTAGGTGGTTGGCCCCTAGCAGAATTAAACACATTGTGTAGATGTGTTATTTAGAAATTTTCCCTCCCACCCCCCCCAGCCCCCAGAATTAAGGCTGGTTCCGCCCCTGCTCTCTCTCTCTCTCTCTCTAAAATGGAACATACATAAAAATTAATTTAATATTCAAGATCAATTAATGTAATTTTACAACTTATGAGTAACTCACCACCTTTTCTTCTCAAGATATTTTATCGTTATTCATTATAGATAATCAGCCAATTAAAGCATGCTAACTTAGTATGATTGGATATTATATTAATTAAGATTCAATATTTCTCCCCCTCTTAATACTAAATTAACAAACATAAGAATCTTAAGGTGTTAATTGAAGAAGATGATCTTTTTGTGTTACTCACTTTTTTCTCTAAACTATAAACTATCTCTAAAGTTTTTTAAATGATAGAGGCTCTTTCTCTAGTATAGTTTAATTTGAGCTTTCATATATCTATTTATATTAATAGCCTTTGACATTTAAGGGACCACCGGTTTATAGGTTTTATTTTTATTTTTTTTGTAGCTCATCTGAGCATTAGAAAGCTGGAAGACCCTTCTAAGGATCTTTGTAACCGTATTTTTATTATCAACGTATAGGCCCCTCAGTGGGTTTTAATAAAAAAATATATTAATAGCCTTTGACATACATTTGTAACAATAAAAATATTAATATAACTAAAAATTTTTATTAGTTGATTGTACTTTATGATCTAAATCATACAGTACGATCAGTTTAATTTTGATTTTACTAGCTTTGAGATAATAATGTGATGAATTAATTTTAAAATAAAAAAAATATATTATATAATATCATGAACATCATATAATATGATTACGCTTAATTAATACAAATTGAGTGTGTAAATTTAATTTAATTAGTAAAGTATATCATACAATACGATATTTACAATATATATATTGCGAGTGTAATATTCGTGATGGTAGAGAGATATAAGGTTAAGCATATTAGTTTTGTACAAAGATCCAGCACACACACATATATAAAAGAGAGGGGGATGTAAGAGTCATAAGAGACAACATAATTTTTATGTGAAAATCCTTAAAATGGGAAAAATCATGGGACTTTGCCTTGTTAAAATGATTATACTAATGTTTGTTATTGGTTATAAAGGATGTCCTTTCCTCGGGGGGGAATGCATTGACATGTGTAAAGATACATCATGTAGAGCATATAACATGGTTGACATAAAAAAAAAAAAAAAATCTAATGCATGAGAGTTGTTCTCAAGAGAACAGTTGCCTCTATATTTAGTCAGTAGAAAAATAGTTGGGCAATAGAGGTCAAAGGGACTGTGGTCAGGGGGTGATGGAGGTTACAGGGACCATAGTCAGTGGGCGATAGAGGTTATAAGGACCATAGTCTATTGGCCAATATGATCCAAGTGAATATAGTAGGGAAACGAAGGTCATAAGGATCGTAGTCGGGCAATTGATGTCGAGGAGTCCAATTTTGACTAACAGAGATTAACGAGACTGTAGTTAGAGGATGATGAATATTGGAGGAGTCATAGTTGGGTGATAGTGGTGAGAGTGTTATAGTTTGCAGACGACGAAGGTTGGAGGGATCGTAGTCGGGCAACGGTTGTCTTAGAACCATAATTGACGAGCGATAGAGATAGTACAAATACTCAACAATGGCGGCCATATAGAGATTCAATGATGATGCTCAGTTAGAGGTTAAGCAGTGGTGGATAGGTTGCAAGAATTCTCCGACAGTGATAGACGGTGAAGGTCAGAGGGATAGATGTCAGCCAACTAAGGTTGAAGGGATCATCGTTTGG